TCAAGAAATTATAACTGTTCCACTAATTCACACTTTACAGTTCACCAGACCACACACGTAAGTCTCCTAAGTCTGTTGTGCCTTTACAAGTCGATATGGTAGAGGCTTCCAACGACGGACATTCACCTTCCTCTGAGTTTCCAAATTGTTCCTGCCTCAGCTGTCACCTTCAGCAGGAAGAGCTCACTAGGACTGGACAGCAGCGGTTCTCTAACTCACTCACTCACAAACGAACTACATTTTATTTCAATAATTGACTAACTCTGCCTATCTCGCCTTGCTTATAAAATTTCGGTACGGACCGCACAGAAAATACCGCTACTCTCTTGTAGTTTACGGGCCGTTGCCTAATAACGACCATTATCTACTTCTTTATTTCGTGGTTGTTGCCTAGCAAACGATTTAAATGCCACATTATCTTTAAGACCAATATTAGAACTTTTCAATACACTGCAGTTAGGGCCGCGCCATAGCTCAAGCAGCTAGTCGCTGGCTTCCCACGGCGGCGGCCGGGGTTCGATCCCGGGTCTGTTCAAGTGGATTTGTGGTGGACAAAGTGGCTCTGGGGCAGGTTTTCTACGAGTACTTCGGTTTCCCCTGCCAATCCACAATCACACACAATCACACAATAACTCTCACCTGTCTTCTTGGGCTGGTACAATAGGCCGGAAATGGCCGCAGTACAATGGACTTAGTCCCACCCCACTAGCAATAAAAAAAATACACTGCAGTTCATAATCATACATGTGCACTAATCCCGAGTAAAGCAGGCCAGATCAGCTGTAGCTTATACCTATGGCATCAACTGCGGTGCAAAGATGATCACAAATATCGACCACTAAGATTCGTAGTTCATTTAATGGTACTAGTTTTGGGGGTGGTTCGGTTGGTGTAGCTCTCATGCTACGGACTGGAAGGCCAGTGTTCAATTCCCAGTAAACTAAAGATACATTTATATTTACCTTAGCATCCAGACCGGCTGTGTGACCCACCCAAACTCCTGCTGTTTGGCTTCCGGGGGCTTCATCCTCGGGGGTGAAGCGGCAGGTACATGAAATTAATCACTCGCCTCCAGCTATTACCGAGGCAAAGATTGGTGGATTTTTTCCCCTAATCCCCCACATACCCTCATGGCGTAGTGCTTAATTACATAATTAAGTACATCAGTAACTTTATTATCTACACTTACCTTTCATACTTCCGGTTATCTGGTGAGGCTGAAGTAAGCCACGAGCAACTTTTGTGTAGTTAGCCGGTAACTCGACTTCAATTTGAATCTGGGATTTCTGTGTGGAAGTCTCCAGCAACATCCTTCAATTATTATGAAGATCTATACAGAATCTATCTATCTATCTATCTATCTATCTATCTATCTATCTATCTATCTATCTATCTACCTATCTTCTATCTATTTATCTTTTCTGTTGCTCCCACTTGGAGTATAAGGCATACGTGAAACGCTTCATTTCGTTTATTTCTTAATTTTAGACACCCGGTAGGACCCCTTGGACGAGGGATTAGCTCATCGTAAGGCCGCTACCTACACAGGACAACACAAAAACAAAATAAACGCACACAGACATCCATGCCTTTAGTGGGATTCGAACCCACGATCCCAGTGTTCGAGCGGGCGAAGACATTTCATTCCTTAGGGGGCCCATACACGTACGAGTCTGGCTCGCGAGTCCAACTCGGCTCGGGTTCCAATGAGCCAAACTCGTCCGTGTGCAGGTCGCCACGCTCATAAGTGTGTGGTGAAATTAATCCGAGCCGGACTCGCGAGCCAGACTCAGTAAGTGTATGGGCCGCTTTAGACCGCGCGGCCACTGTGGTCGGTTCTATACAGAATGGAGAACTAAAATCCGTGAAGATTTCGAAATTTCTGGGGAACGTGTTACGTTTGCAGTGGATGGTTCAGCTGATCCCATTCCATTTTCATACAAATATGAGGTTATATACACTACCCTCGGGTGATGCAGGTTGTGGGCAACGAACTGGACAGGAGACGGTATGGGAAAAAGTCTGATTCTTATGTGCTTATTTAATGACTCCGTCGGTATCGAGAATACATAGCGTCAGTTATACAACAATGATGGCGAAGGAGTTGGCGAGATAATAATTGGCAAGGAAAACCGAAGTACTAAGAGAAACCTCGACACAGTGCTACTGTGTCTATCACTGATCTCACGTATATTTATCTGGGATCGAACCCGGGCCTTCGTGGTGGAAATCCGGTAATAAACTCCCTGAGCTATTGTCTGCCGGAAAGAAATAATATTAGCAATTGTGAAGGCACTACGTGTCACAACATATGACTTAACAGAATGATGGAAACTACGAACGCCGATCATTGTCATCGGTTATATTTTGGAGTGAGAACCACTGACGTACCCATCGGCTGTTCTAACCTGCTCGATATATTCTGATTAACATTACAGATTGTTTAATTTTTTTTGTGCGAGAAAATGTCGGCTTAGTGTCCTGAAATAATTAATCATTCTGACACCGAAACAGAAGCTTCCAGCAGTTCCTGACCTGAACTAGAAATTCGCAGCGCATCACTTTAGAGCATTTGACCCAATCCACAGCCACATAAATTCAATACATACTCAGAAATTCCACAACTTCCGTCTTCATATTATTCTCCGATACGGGCCTATATGTTACAAGTGAAATCCTCCTTACATGTACTTTGGTTAAATTTTGTACGCATTTAAAATTCCACTATGCGTGCTACATGTCCATCACATTTCGTTTATTCTTAATTAATGAACTTGTTATAATATGAGACAAAGTTATGCAAAATCCTGTCACACGTTAGAGTGAATATAGACGGGGTTTTGATTATAGATTACATTTATTGACCACTTTAACACAAGACTCTTGATTGCACTTAATTATAACGCCATCGCTCATCTGGACACCTTACGAATCACTACAATACAGACTGAGCCTTTTCAGTCTGCTATGTCTTTACAAGTCGTTCCCTAGTAACGGCTTCTAACAGTGAAGATTCTTCAGCTTCCGTGCTCACTTAGTTATCAGCTAGTTCTCAACTGCACCAACTAAGTCTTCTCTTCACACATTCCCTTACAACTGACTAACTTCTAAACTTGTCTCGGTTATAACATTCAGATAAGGGCAGCGCAAAAAACACCGCTTCCAACAGTTCATCTATTATTGCGCTTGAAACCGTTGCTGTGGAAACCTGTTTGTTTAGAGGTCGTTGCCTAGCAACGGGTCTACACGCTTCAATACTAACATTCTATTTTATCCAGTCGTCATACTGAATCGAATATAGCAGTTTAGTGGTTTGCATTCCTGCACAGTAGTCGAAAGGTACCTGGTTCGTCTATCAGTCAGCAGACTGATTATTTTCAAAGAGAAATTTCCTGGATGAAGGTGTGCGCAGCCGTATTTCTATACATCCAACAAGCTTTTGACAAGGTGTGGCACGCAGGCCTACTTTATAAAATCAAAAAGAGATTACCCAACCAAATATACCTCTTGCTGAAATCGTACCTCTCCGAAAGGTCTTTCCAAGTTAGAATAAACACTGACGTTTCAAGCATCCGCAACATAAAATCGGGAGTACCGCAAGGAAGTGTTCTGGGCCCATTCCTATACTTGATATATTCGGCTGACCTACCAACCACCGACAACACAGTACTGGCCACATTTGCTGATGATACGGCGATACTCACAGCGAACCATAACCCGATAACTGCCTCCGCAAACCTACAAAACCACATAAATCTCCTACAACAGTGGTTCCACAAATGGCGCATGAGCATAAACAACGAGAAATCAGTCCAAATCACCTTCACCAATCGCCGAACCACTTGTCCGCAAATAACAATCAACAACAGGAACATACCACGCAACGCCGAAGTCAAATACTTAGGTCTTTACCTAGACCAAAAACTCACGTGGAGGACTCACATCAATAAGAAACGCCAACAGTTGACGCTGAAAGAGAGACAGCTGCACTGGCTGCTAGGAAAACGCTCGCAATTGTCCCTGGAGAACAAAACCCTGTTATACAAGGCACTCTTAAAACCTATATGGACCTATGGCATCGAGCTCTGGGGCTGCGCTCGACCATCCAATACCAAAATCCTCCAAACATTCCAATCGAAAACACTACGAAGAATCACAGGCGCACCATGGTACGTAACAAACAGAACTACCCACAACGACCTCAACATACCCTTCATCACGGAAGAGATCAGAAAACATGCCACCAGACACCGTACTCGGATAACAGGACACGAGAACCCGCTAATCGTTGAATTAACGAAACCGCACCCAGCAGCAAGACGACTGAGGACAACCTGGCAGAAGACTTATGTAACTAAAAGGTAGAGTACTGCCACTGGGCAGCTGCCGCCTTCACGACATGAACACCCATCGCATTTACTTATTACTTACAGTGGTCAAGTAGACTGTAAACTGACGTAAATAAATAAATAAAAAATTTCCTGGTTACCTCCAATCACTCTAACAAGTGCTGGGACAAGACTGTTAAGAATACACAGACTCACATCCAGAAAGAAAGCTTTCATAGTCACCATCAAGAAAACCCAATAGGCCTACATATATGTGTGTTTGTGTATGTGTGAAAGCAAAGCTTTAAGACATCCCGTGAACATAAGTTCCATAGCAAAATCACGATCGATAGAGCACTCTCTTGTTGAAGCGGAAGTCTCTATTCTACGAGTATTTAAATTAGTTTGTGTCGAATGTAGTATAGTATACATAAGAGTCGGTTTAGTATTTGTGCATATTAGAGCCGGGAGATACGGTTAATAATTGACCTCAACGTGTCATTCGATAATGTATAGGACTGGGAAGGAACACGCGAGAGATCGGGGGAATATGACATTACGTAAACTTACAAATGCAGTGATGAGACTTGAATTGTGTTACGGAGCAGTTAAAGTACCGGAAGGCGCCTTGATGATTCTATAAAGTTAGAAGCAAAGTATTCCTTTACTCACCGCTCAGAGGAGTTCCTGTTGCGTCTATCCGACACCGAGACGCCGTCTTCATCATCCAGGATATCGAAGCGGACGGTCTCTGTGCGTCGCGGCGATGAGAGAGTCGAGGCTCTTGCTGCAGATTCGTCGTTCATCTGGTGTGACTGGCATCCCACAGATGAGGGCGTCAGCTTTCTGGCCACAGACGCAGTGGTGGTCGCGATGGGCGCCGAAAATAAGAGCGGTCTCTGAGCCAGAGATGGCGAGTCGCAAAAAGTTGGCGTACCTGACGTCATGTCTACACCCTATTTCTATTATTTTCTCATTTTAGAAGATTTAATATTGAATATTCTACACCGATCCTAGACTCAGTTTCGTCACAGCGACATTTTTGTGCAGGAAAAGTGTTGACCTCTATTGCAGGCAGTGTCTGTTTCACAGCTCCCTACGGCACAATTTGTGGTATTTAAGAAAAACATGTTCAGCTTAAGTTAACATTCATTTCACACTGATTTAATTAACAGTAAATTATAGAATAGGTAAAATCCTACAACTTTATATCCATAATATACTCAATAAAATGTTTCTACCTTAGATTTGAAATCGAGTTATTATAACATTCTCACAAGAAAGAACAAACCGGAGATATGAGATGTAAAATTCTGTAAATACTATATTCGTATAGTAAATTTAAGGAATATGTAATTTTCTCCAACTTGCAATGAAGAAGGATCGAAATGTTTATTTATAGAAGTATGGTTAAAAAGTTACCTTGCATGTTACGTAACATGTTTATTCGTTCGTAATATAAATTTATTGATCTCTTATCGCTCACTTTCGTTGTCTTGCCAAATATATGGGATAACATTTTCTGTCAGTTACAATTGCTTCATATTTCCTATCCCCTACTGTGGACACAACAGAGAACACAAAAAGTATAAAATTTGAACTGTATTTTTGACAATATTTACGGTAACCATGAATGTTAGAACGGTGTGCAAGTGTGTGGTAGCATTTTTTTTTGTGGTTCATGTCCTCACTTGTAATTTCCGTAAATTGCGTAACCTGATATGTGTATTTTGGCTTCCTTGAAGCTTCAGTTACGAGGTTCTATTGTGATGCTAACAATACAGCAATTACGCCCTCGGAGGAAAACTCCAATTAAGAATTCAATTTTATGATTTTCCTACAACCTTAAACATTGTCATATTTTCCACCTGAATGAACACTTCAACTTACTCTTTCCAACGCTAACGGACAAATCATTGAATGCTTATAGGTGTACTTAGCAAATTAATATAAAATTTTATTATGGTGGTACTACATGAAATAGTCAGCGTCACTCTCCAGCCGAATTATTCTGCAGAAAGCTCTCTGGTGCATGTCATTAATTAAAAGATCTTTTGGGCCCCATACTTGAAAGTGAACATTTATCTATTCTCCGGCACCAGCCCGCAGTAATCAAATTCACGGGTTTAAAGTATACACTTAAAATGAAATCGCACCAGCGGATCCAGAAGCTGGCTGAAATAATTACATTCTGGTTTCACCCCGCTCAAGCAATAGCATCTGTAATATTCGCCAACAGATGGTCTTGGGAAAATTTTGTCGCATTTGCAACAAAAATTACAAAATTAAATGAGCTTATCTGAGTTCCAGTCTCTGTCTTTCCATCTGCCTATCTGTCTGTCTGTCTGTCTGTTGCATGTAACGAAACAAGAACGAAACAAGAATTTTGAGTATATTGTGACATGCAAATCTATTTCTAGGCAACGCTCGCGACATATATGTGGCCAACAATGCTACAACAATGTCCTCTTTTGCCCACGGTGACGTCACACAAAAGTTGGTTGCGGTCACTTGAAGTGTTTTCTTTAGGTTCAGCCAGCTCGCCAGTGGACTGGCTGGATATTGACCACGTGATATTTTTTCTGTAGGTCCAGCCAGCACACCAATGGACTGGCTGCGTAACAATCACGTGACATGTGTTTTCTGTGATGCGTGTCCATGCTGTGTCTATATAAGTGAGATGAATTCCGAAGCTGAAGTAGTAAGCCGGAGGAGTGAGCAGTAGACGGAGTTCTGTTGTGTCTCGAGGTTCCAGTGTGATTGAACAAGAAACGATAAGAAGACTTCATGGTGATCTGAAGCGCTACTTTCTGTATCGAGAGAATTAGACTATAAGGTTGAAGTCGGATGTCGGGAAGTTCGTAGTTGAAGAATTAGAAGTTGGCCTGTGAGGATTTAGTGTGTAATAAGAAGATTTAGTCACAGCAAAATTGTTTTAATTCCGTTATCAGGAGATGACTATTGAAGACTGGGAATCCTAGAGCGTGTGTAACTGTTAATTGCAAATTGTGTAAATCAGCAATAGCCCTCTATTAATTTTAATTAAGAGAGCTTGTAACCTAAGTGGCAATAAATCCAATTAACCGACTTATAACCCCGTATTTGTCACGCGTACCCCCTCTACAGGTGACAATATTTTATGTTAAGGAACTTGTAATAATATTTGTCAACTTACTCCAGTTTTTCTTAAGACGAACAACAATAACGGATATACATGAAGACCAACACATGTTCCTAGGCCTTCTCTTGTGTAATGGGAGAGTTACCCCCTAAATATCCATCGAAGCAGGAAACATTTTCACCAGACCTGGCAGGGGAAAATTAACCGAATGTTTTACAGCCTGTACACGTTGTCTGTAAATCATATAATTTTCGAGTTAATTAAGCAGAAGTGAACTAAAAAGCCAGAACATTTACGTTGTAAGTAACTGGTTCTATTCAGCTGAATAAGTAAACTACTATATATATCAAATAAAATATTCTAACAAATATATAAAATATTTAAAATTAAATTATACAATAAAATCGTGAATTAATTTGGACTTAATCCATATATCTCCATGAAGTGGTTTGATAAGAAAGTAAGAGATTATTTAAAGTAACATGATTTCAAATGGTGTTTGTGTGTTGTGGTTTGCAATGAATAAGGACAAAAGCGGGCATATACAGTTCCACTATAACACACTAACGTAGAGTCAGTTTTAACCAGGATGACCGCCGAACCCAACTATCGATTCACACGCCACATTTCAGGCTGCCAGTGTCTTTATTGGTGCAGTTTAACTTTCAGAGATAGACTTCACTGTCATTTGTAGCAGTGAGGTGAGACTGGGTTCCTTTGTACCAGCGTTTGAAGTGGGCTTATTGTTCCAGTCTCTGAGCACAGTCGAGTAAAGACAGCCTACGGGATGGTAATGGACACAGGAAAACCGAAGTGCTCCAAGAAAAACATTCCCAAAGCCAATTTGTTCACGACATTCCAACAAAATTACCTGAGACTGGACCCAGGTCCCCTAGGTGATATGCCTGCGACTAACCAACTGAGCTATGTAAGTAAGAATTTATTTGAAAATGTTTAAGTATTTAAGTCCTGTTTGAATATATCCCACAGAATAATCAGGGTGTTAAGTAAAGAAGTTTATGATCAATGGAGCTCATGTAGGCCAGTTACAAGAGTGAAATTGAGGAAGTTAAGATGGGTTGGATAGGTAGATAGAAAGAAAAAGCAAGAAATATACACATTATTTGAGTGGAGGAATCATTTGCAAAGCTGCTGTTTGAAAACAGAAGAGACGGAACAATTCCAGCATGGAGGTTAGCTGCATGTTTAACGATGCTATCGACGTTGAATAACAAGATAATTGATAACTGATGAATTGAAAGAGATATGGAAATTGGCTGCAGTGTCTAGCCATTTCCATGTAGGACCGGAAATATATAACAAATATGGAATAACAACACTTGGTCTCTAGGTTGAGATGTGATCTCAGGACTTCCTGAATACGAAGTAGGCCGCTGCATACTAGCCCGCCAGGTTCTGAATGACATAACATTTGGAATGGACGGTACGTGCAACAGGAACAGAACTGTGTTCATTGTGGGTGTCTACTGTCACAGAATGTGTTCCCTAGTTGGTTGTTTGATTAATGTGCTGATCAGTTCATTTGTTAGTAAGTTAGAAGTTTGAGTGATTGGTTAATTCAATAATTTTTTCCAGTACATTATTCCCTTACTATCCGTAGGATTTATGTATTTGCATTTTGCAGTTTATACCCAATTATGCAAATAGCAGTATTTATTTATATTTATCGGTAGTTTTTATGTTTTTTTTCTTGTGGCGCTACAGCCCCAATTTGGGCCTAGGCCTACCTCCATGAAACTCTCCGTTTCACTTCGGTTTACTAGATCTTACACATTCGGTAGGGCTCCTTGGGCGAGTGGTCAGCTCGTCGCAAGGCCTCTATCTGTAGACAAACACAGAAAAACGCACACAAACATCCATGCCCTGAGTGGGATTCGAACCCAAGATCCCGGCTTCCGAGCGAGCGAAGACAGTGCATGCCCTAAACCGCCTGGCTACCGTGACCGGCTTTTATATGTTTACATACGGAAAATATGGGTAACTTCTGCCCCTGTGATGGCATCCGAGACGAGCTTTCTAACCTCTACGTTTCCGTCACAGTAAACCTATTTGTGGTGCTATTATATTGCAGGACTATTAGTATCATATACTTTTAATTTCACGTGCACATAATATGAGAAAAAATTGTGATAAAAAATTTGATTTCGACATTTTAAGAGACTGGCATGTTTTCAGTTATCCTTAATACAAAATAAATTGTTTTTGGAACACCCATTTCATTTCTGTGTCTGTCTGTACTTGGTCCTTGATATCGCCTGATCAAGTGAGCTGATGAAATTCATATTAGGGATTTCGGAATTTATCCTTCATACTTAGTAGAATATGAACATTCTATCAAATATGGGTCACTTACACAGGGGCCACCAAACCCACAGTTTTCTTTATAATGGCCATAACGATCGTGATTACCTTTCAGAAATGCATAGGAAGCGCCTCCCTAAATAAAAAAAATATATATGTTGTGTCTTAGGGAAATAACAGTAACCCCGCAGCGGAGATAGGTAGACCAAGAGATTTTCTCTTCTCCACAGCGTCCAAATCGTTCCTGGGGTCCATTAAACCTCCTATCCAATTGGCACCGGTGTATATCCCCGAGCATAAAGCGGACCGGGCCTAGTCTAGCGCGGAGATCAACAATGGTAAAGCTATACCTCCACTTTCCAATTTACCTTCATGGCGTTGTACTTAATTAATTAAGCACAGGAACAGTTTTGCCTTTGTCTTTAATAGTCTATAGAAGTAATGGGCGGAAATAGTATTCTGTAGCTCAAAACATCACACACGTAATAGATTATTGTAGAATGATTAACCATCAAGCGTGTATGTGCAATATCTTTGCATTGGCTTTTGTGTTAAGGAAGACATTTAGGTTTTAATGAGTGGTAAAAGCCAGCAGCCTTTCCCATTGCCAGCAATTCTAACATGGACTCGGAGCTACCAACTGCGGTATTTCC